AGAATTTTAAAAGACTAGTTAAAACAGCTACAGTGGAACCTCGGGTTGCGGACGTAATCCGTGACGGAGGCACGTTCGCAACCCGCAGCATTCGTAACTTGCAGCGCCGCGTCTGCGCATGCGCGTGACACGATTTGGTCTTCTGCGCATGCACGAGCAGCGAAACCCAGAAGTAACCCTTTCCAGTACTTCCGGGTTTCCCACAGTCCGCAACCTGAAAACACGTAACCCGAAGCATTTGTAACCCGAGGTACCACTGTATATGGAGTGGGACTTCAGTGATACAGATCTAACAATATGGGCCTTCATTTTAGGACTGATTTGTAGCATGGACCATCATTTGAGGAGTATCTATCATGGCAGTGCAGAATCTGGAGACTGAATATGTGACTTCTGGGCTTTCGTCCTGTAGTAATAGAGAGATGTTGTGTTGTTCTGAACGCCCAGGGAACTTATATAGGATGGGCTGGATAAACCTGGCTCGAATATCCCAGACACATGCATATCATCATCATCACCATCATTATTATTAATTTATTAATTGCCACTTAAACCACCATGCCAAGGCAATCTACACATAAAATAATTAAAAACAGTGTATATATTTGCCACGGATGACAGAGAACATTAAAAAAAAATCCTGATGGATCAGATCAAGGGGCCAGCTAGTCCCCCATCCTTTAACACTGGACGGCCAGATACCCATGAGATTACAAGCCTGACATGCAGGTAACAGATCTCCCTGGTTGTTTTTCCTCAATGCCTGGAATTTAGGGATATAGCGCCTCTGGACTTGGAAGGTCCATTTCGGTATTGTTGCTAATACTACTGATAGACCTGTTCTCTGTTAATGGGACTAATCCTTTACAAGGCATCTGTTTTGCCAAATGCAGGAGTTCCTTAGGATTCAGTGGCAGTAACGCTGGTGCGGGAGGTTCGGTGCTTTTCTTAAGTAGCAGTCTTGAATCCAGAATAAAAACCAGTGAAACAATCTTTAAGCAGAATAACATAGCACAAGCCAGATAAAATACTTCCCTGTTCGGATATTGGTTGCTCCAGGGAATGACAAAGGAGTGACTGCAGCGTGATTGTATCCTGATAAAATCTGTTCATGCCACCCGTCAAGTTTTTATCTGATTTTTGTTTTAGTGATGTTCATTTGCTTTACAAGTCAAGCTTTGTTTACATCAAGGGCATGCAGATGTTTTATGTACTAATTCTTATGTACTAAATTTTATTGTGATTTCTTTACCATTCTGAAAGTTGTGATTGTCCTGTATGTTGTTGCTTTACTCTGCTGTGGTCTATGTACTAACACAATAAATGTTATTTTGAATTCTGGCATCCAGTGAAGTTGAACATTTGGAGGCTTGGGGACAGAGAAAAGTACCATATTGGCCTAAATATAAGCCGTACCTGCAAATAAGCAGCACCTTTAAAATGCAAGGGGGGAAAGGGGGAAAAAAGACAATACCCCAATATAAGCTGCTCCCTCAAAATTGGGTTACAGACTGAAAATCGCTGCGGTTGGTAGAATTGTAACTCCAAGCCAATTTAAACCTTTGATCTTGCAAGCCCACAAAAGTTACCGTACAATCGCTAAAATCGCAAATCGCTATTCAATCGCTACAATTCCGCAGGCACTCACTGGAAAATAAACAGTCTCAAGCTCACAAATTGGCCAGAAAACATTTTTGGTTCCATTTTACTGTATGTCTGTTTCAGCAGCGATATCGTAAAAGCTGATTTTTGTAAGGTCACGAATTCATGCCTCGCTTTTAACTTTTCACGGTCGGAATTTGGGGGGAAAAGGTGTGGCTTATATTCAGGCCAATACGGTATGTGCTTTTTCACACAGTGCATGCTTAAACTATGGAATTGAGCCCCAAAAGAGGCAGTGATGGCTACCAACTTGGGTGGCTTTAAAGGAGAATTAGACAAATTCATGGAGGATGAGGCCATTAATGGCCACTAACCCTGGTAGCTGTGTTCTACCTCCATAGTTGGAGTCACCATGTTTCTTAATATCAGTTGCTGGTGTTTCTGCCAGAAGTGAGAGAACTGTTTCTCTCAGATCCTGCTTGTGGTTTTCTCACACACATCTGGTTGGTGCCACTGTGACAATAGGATGCTGTACTAGATGGGTCAGGGGCCTGATCCAGGAGACCATTCTTGTGTCCCTATGATAATGCAAGGTTCATGATCACAGGGAGGCAACAGCTGAACATTCTTAGAACCTCCCTTTAGTATTTGCACTAAAGACATGAGGATTTATGATTGAAGAGGGTTCTCCATCCCTGATTTTCACCATGTGAGCCTATTCCCTGGTATCGTTTCATGGGATAATAGCTCAAACGCAACACAGCAATCGCGTCCATATTGGCACACCTTTCTCTGCACCATTACGACTGGTGCATAAATCATGGTTTGGGAAGTCCAAAACTGAAAAAGAGGCAGACTGTTGCTGCTGTCCGTTGTTGATCTTCTGTCACTTACAATCATATATACTTCGGATTTTAAAAGGGGTTTGTAGACTATTCTAACCACAGGGTACATGAGACATGAAGTAATGGCGCAATATTAGATAGTTCAGCGTTCTTAACATCAGAGCCCAGACGCTATGTCAATACTATCTATGCAGCTGTCAAATTATTCTTAAGTGCATCTTTTGCATTGTCATGCGCACCATCTTTTAGCAAGCGGTGTATTGATATTGAGAGCATGAGTCTTCAGAGTTGTATTCTCCACTGGAATATATGTTTCAACGCGCACAGGTTTTACAAGGGTCATGGTTCAAGGAGAAGTGGGTCACTGGATGCCTGGCACACTCAAGACATGGTAGCATCAATATGCACTGAGTCTTTTTGTATATTTGCACCAACAACTGCTGGCAGTTGGAGCCTCTGCCAATGAATCCTCTTGAAACATTCTTCTTCCCTTTCTTTCTCTTTGGCAAGCACTCATAGCCGAGTAAGATGGCCTTCCATGAATATGATCTTAATGGTATGTCCGTAACTGACTGTGGAGGCCAATTATGGATCCACACGTCCTTCCACAGTGGGGACATAGGTTTCTGGGCAGGAGTTGATCACGTTGAGGGTTTGCCAAATGTGCCTTCCTCTTAGCTTGTTTCTCCCTTCTTCTTACTTCACGGGGCCCCCAATTTAGTGGAATTTTACTACATGGATCTAAAATTAAGAGAAGGCACTTTTCACTTGCTGGGCTTCTTTAAATTCCTTTTCCCTAAAATCCTTGCCATGTTTTAAAGGGATTGTGGACCCAAACAGGAATCAGGCCCAGGGAGCCAGGTGTCAGAAACAGTTTCAGGGTCAACACCAAGCACCAACCTACATTTCGTATAAATAAAGGAAAAGGACTCCACCTTTGCCAAAATGGCTACCATTCTACTCAGAATCCCCCACTTTTTCTAAACACAGATTGTAACTGTCCATATATAAAGGCAGGCATATAGTGTTGGAGTTTGGTAACTATATTGTAGCGATGTGTGGAGAGAAATAGTCTGGTAAGGCTGCTAGTGGAAAGGATAAAGAAAGATTAAGTTTTATAACTGAGGTAAGCAAAGCCATTCTAGGTACGTGACCAAGATGGATGCACAGACTAGCTCATACTAATCAGCTTGAACTAAATAAACTTGGAGAAGAAGGAAGGAAGAGCTGAAAGGAAGCAATTTACTTTAGCAGCAAGTAGGAACCAGTGAGGAGAAAGAACAGGTTGCTTTTCTGTCTACACACACACACACACACACACACACACACACACACGGGTAACTTATTGCAAGTTCTGTTGCTTTGCTCCCAATGTAGAGTGTACATGCATATTGCAGGGATAGGGATTATTATTGGTATTATTTTCAAGAAGGTTAGAGTGATCATAATACTCATTACTGCCTCTATTTTGATTTTCTCTTTGCTAAATGAAATGACGCAGATTGTAAGTAAACAATGATTATTAAAGAATTGCCAATTAAGAAACAACTAAACAAAGGAGATTCTAAAAAGCATCCTTTCTCTTTTGTATGGCGTTTTATTCAGAAGCCCGACTCCTGTAGCCTCACTGAATGCTAATGAACAGCATAATAATCTGCCAGGACTAGCAGGGGCTGATTAATTAAGAACAGAGGGGCAGAATTCAAAAGGTTTGAACTATACTTTCCCCCCAAAATAATTCAGTTACATGCTGTAAGCCCAACTGAAATCAACAGACGTTTGTCGGTTACATCGCGCATCCCACCCCATTTGTTCCTATCAGAACAGTTTTCTTCCTTGCTTGTAAGAGGCATAATTGGGACACCCAGGTGTGATGATTCAGATAACGGAACAAAGCATCCTTGCCCTTATGGCCCATCTGCATCATATCCTGGCTTCAACATGGTTACTCTTGGCTGGACATATTCCAACATTAATGGATCAACGCAACAGTTCTTACATTTGGACTGCAGTGTTATATCACAACATAAGAAAAAATACCTAGAACTTGACAAAGCCTCAATAAGTGTAACTGCGTAGGTGCATATTTGCCCCCTATTGTCAGGACCTCTATTTCCTTTGCTCCTCAAAACAGACACACATCTTTATTGTTTACGTTTCTCTATAAAATGCACCCATTAAGTGCTTTTCTCATCCGAGTACTAAAGCAGTGCACAGCATGAATAACAATGGTGATTCAAACCACAAAATGAAAGGATACACTGCAGTCACAAAGAGAGAATCCATTCCACGTCCCCCTGCCAGAAGACCCAAATGCCAGAGAAAACATTGCCCTCATTCCCTCAGGGATGAGGGAATAGGCCTTCCTGGCAGTAGCCTCCAGGTTATGGCATGCACTGCCCAAGCAGACCCAGCAATCTGCTTCCATGAGTAGCTCTCTCAAATGTAGGAACAACATGAATACAATGTGGGACTGCCCATTTAGCCACACTGTCATGGTCATGTGCCTCCTGATGGAATGATCTCCCTGAGGGGACCTGCCTGGCACCAACCTTGTCATCAGTGGCTCAGTGCATCTGGCTGTTAACCAGAAGGTTGGTGGTTCAAGCCCACCCAAGTTCTGTTAGATCTCAGGCCAACCTTGCCTAACCTCTTCCATCCATGGTGGGGAAGCTGTAGCCTCTGCACCATGTAGTCATTGGACTACAACTCCCATCATTCCTGACCACTGGCCAATCTGGCAGGGGCACATGGGAGTTGGAGCCAAACAATATCTGAAGGACCACAGGTTCCCAGACCACCTTTTATTAACACCTTGTCCATTACCTATAAAACAAAATACTGCCGAGAACAGAGTTGTCTATTTTGGACGGGGGAGCCACCTCTCTTCTCGATAGCCTTTGAGTAGCTAGCAATAAATAATGAACCACAGCGAGAAGCAAAGATGGCAGCACTCAATTTTTCATTCAGTTTATTAAAGTCCAGCTTTGATGAACAACTGGGGAAAGGCACCGGAAAGGGGTTTAGCTATGTCTGCAACTGGATGTTTAATTAATGACTAAATGCAAAGGATAAGTAAGTACAGTCTCGCGCTTGAGAGTTAAATATCTGATGTACCAATGAAATATGCCGTATCATCGCAGCAATAGCATCCGTGCTCCGGATGCTTGCGGGTCATTCATTTGCCACACTTGTTGCTGCTGGATGTCAAGAGCCATGCATGGCAGGGCAGGGGGCTGGAGAGCTGGTGAGAAATTAATCAGGATCCATCTGCTTCCCTTCTTATCCCGGACAATTTCATTACAACTAAACCTAAGATTAGAGGATTCTCATATCTGCTTTTTGTCCCCTCTGCGCAGTTTTGGTGCTCTCTGTCCTGGGTGATTAAAGCCGCTTGGTTTAAAGTAAGATTATTTCCAATCTTCCTTTCTTAAGGGAGATGCATAATGAGAACAGTCAGGGATCAAAAGCCGTTCTCAATTACCTCGTGTACAAAAAAATACTGCAACTCCACTTAAAGGGAGGGAATAAGCGCTAGTGGAAGGCAGACCGTTTTAAATATGCCCCTTTGCAGAACAAGCTCTTCTGTGATTGAGATATTAGACAAAGAGCCCCCACCTCACCCCCATCCACCATATTGCCATTATTTAATCTCATTTCCCTATGAACTTCTACAGATTCTAAGTACATCAAATGGTATTATATAATCGTCCGGACATGTGACAAAACCAGTTGTCACCCATTTCATTCCCCCCTCCCTCTTCCAGATCACTATCTTGCTATTAATCCTGCATTTAATCTTAATCTTCTACATCTGTTCAGGGTTTAGTCAGTTCCTCCAGGGAGGGTCCCAAAACTATACAGAACGTAATGAAACTGCATGAGTTATTCTCAGTCAACATGACACCCACATGAAAGAGCAAACCGGAAAGACTGTTCAATGTCTCCCTGGATGCAGCTAATGGAGAGAGCAGCAGTTTATCATTCATTAATGGTGGTTGGGAGGGAGGGACATTTAACCATTTAGGTCTTCTGATGGTAGAAGGCATAAACCCCAGACCTTTATGAGAGCAAGGCAAGGGCATAGGAGACCTGGAGCCAAATCCCTGCTCAGACATCAAGTCCACTGTGTCACCTTGGGCCAGCTTCTTCCTCTGTCTCTATAACTTACCTACCTCACAATTTCCTGAAGCGACGGCAGTTTCTGCCACATCTTGATTCTCAGAGGAACGTAGACACTGGGGGAGCACCTGGAACCCCCTGGTGTCTTGCTACTACTCCACAGTGGGGGCGCTGCCCAGCTTTTGGTACAAAACAGAACACACAGGTTTCTATGCCATGTGGGAGAGACACCACAAGTAGAGCAGCCTTCTCACTGAAGATGGCTGCCTTCAAACTCATCGATGGAGAATGGGAGAGTTACCATGCTCATCGCCACTCTTCCCTCCTGCATGCTCTACAGTCCAATACCTGGATAAATTTGAACACTTCTAAGCACAAAATTTAGCATGTGCTTAGCAATCCCCCAATGAAATATATAGAATTTAAAAAAATAATGATGGTAATTCTGACAGGATTGTGCCCGTCGTTGCATTTTATTTTATTTTTATTTTTTTGTTCAAAGTCATTTTCTGACAGGGCCTGGATGTACAGTGGTACCTCAGGTTAAGTACTTAATTCATTCCGGAGGTCCGGACTTAACCTGAAACTGTTCTTAACCTGAAGCACCACTTTAGCTAATGAGGCCTCCTGCTGCTGCCGCACCACTGGAGTATGATCTCTGTTCTCATCCTGTAGCAAAGTTCTTAACCCAAGGTAATATTTCTGTAACCTGAAGCGTATGTAACCTGAAGCGTATGTTACCCGAGGTACCACTGTATACCCATTACTAAAACCAATACTGTTGGACTCCATTTCCCGTCAGTTGCAACCAGCACAACTAATGGAGAACAACATTTGAAGGGCACCACTTTGGCTAAAGCAAAGAGTGAAAAGTTCCTACAGGACTTTCCTGCAGCAACTTTTTAAAAGTTACAGCATTCCTGGCAACATATATGGAGGGTACTAGAGTACAGATCTAAGCACTTGCCGAAAGTTTTTAAAACCACCACTGTCCATTTTTGCACATTAAAAGCCACAAAGAGATTTATTTACCACATTAACCCTCATCTCTTCTCTCTTACTAGATGTTTAACTATTAAAATATTCATCACACAATCCAAACCTTAATGCCAAGTGATTTTTTTCCCCTTAATACAACCTTTTAAAGGAAGAGCATCTGCAAAAAAATACCTTTAAGTACAGACATTAGTTTGCAAAATTGTAAAACCCCAAGGGACTAAACAAGGCATGAGTCACACACAGAGAATGACCACACATGAACTCATTAAATACAGCCATTCATCAGATCCAGCACATGAGTAAATTCTAGAGATCTTAGTTAAGAACTTAAAATGAGGCAGTCTGTTGCTGTTTCTGGTAGCTAGCATTTCATTAGTCTTCACATTTCGTTAAATGTAGCTGGACACACAAAATTACAGTTATCTCTTATAAACCATAGAGCCTAGGACTTGCCGATCAGAAGGTTGGCGGTTCGAATCCCCGCGACAGGGTGAGCTCCCGTTGCTCGGTCCCTGCTCCTGCCAACCTAGCAGTTCGAAAGCACGTCAAAATGCAAGTAGATAAATAGGTACCGCTCCGGCGGGAAGGTAAACGGCGTTTCCGTGCACTGCTCTGGTTTCACCAGGAGCGGCTTAGTCATGCTGGCCACATGACCTGGAAGCTGTACGCCCGCTCCCTCGGCCAATAAAGCGAGATGAGCGCCACAACCCCAGAGTCGGTCACGACTGGACCTAACGGTCAGGGGTCCCTTTACCTTTACCTTATATACAAAAACACAAAAAAAAACCTCAAGACCCTAATGGTCAATACACACATGCACACAATTAAAAATCTCACATGGTCAACATTCTTGAGTTAGAATATTAGAGGGTCTTGAGTTAGAATTAATCTCAGGTTTCAATTTTTTGTTTTTAAAAGTTTCTAGCTCATATGATTACATTAGAAGGATCATTGAAAGCATTGATCCTTCCACCCCACACGCACACACCAATTCAGACTCTCACAAGTTTAAATTTCTTGAGTTGGAGTGCAATCTACATGCTTTCATAAGAACCAATGTGAAAAGTATAATTATAAGAAAATGAGTACTGGTGCATTCCTAAACACAAAAGCCTCTCTTACTTTTGTTTCCTATCAGATTGGAACCAAAGCAAACTATATGAAACGAGGTTTTCTATGCCGCCACCTCTGAACTTGGCAGTTCTGCTCCTCTGTTTGCCAAGCAACTGAACTTTCCCTGTGCATTGTCTAATAGAATGTCCAGGGTTGCCATGTGTCCTCTTTTCCCAGGACACGTCCTCCTTTTCAGGGGTAAAATTTCTGTCCAGGTGGATTTCTTTTAATTTGCCAAAATGTCTCTGGCTGTACTTCCTGGGTGAGACATAGACGTAACTGGTGGTTGAAGATCTGCTTTCCTCTTCTCTTCTCCTACCCCACTCAGCAATATATCGTAGCTTCTATAGCCTACATATAGTAGGGGTATTTAAAATGAGAGTCGTCATAGCGTCCTCTTTTTTGCTCTTCTAAATATGGCAACCTAAATTCACACCTCTTAGTTGCCACCATCTTTCAGGAGAGCAGAGCCAGGACTTCCTAGTCCTATTGCTTGATCCTGCTTCAGCACCTGGTATTCCAGGTATGTTGCTGTTAAGGGCTATATTGAAATACTTTATTGTCACCTGTACAACTTGTATACTTATATATCACTTGCTTATAAAACTGGGTTCATTATTGGGAAGTGCTTTGAGAAACATTACGGCTAAAAAGCGGTGTGCAAATATTGTTAAATAGTTTCCAGAAGGTTGCGCAGTGCTAATCCATTGCAGCAAGGACAACAAGGTGCTTGTGGCAGCTGAAAGCAGTGATGGGGAACCTCAGACCTGGACAGGGGGGAGGCAAACACAGTCTTCTGTGCCTCTCTGTCTCCCCAGGGCAGACTCTTTACTAGCCTTGCTTTTTTGCCTGGCTGGAACATGTGCTACATAGAAGGGCCAGTCCTGGAGTAAAGAAGAAGAGTTTGGATTTGATATCCCACTTTATCACTCCCCTTAAGGAGTCTCAAAGCGGCTAACATTCTCCTTTTCCTTCCTCCCCCACAACAAACACTCTGTGAGGTGCGTGTGGCTGAGAGACTTCAGAGAAGGGTGACTAGCCCAAGCTCACCCAGCAGCTGCATGTGGAGGAGCGGGGAATCGAACCCGGTTCACCAGATTACGAGTCTACCGCTCTTAACCACTACACCACACTGGCTCTCAGTTCGATGGAGTTATATCCAAGTGGTTAGCAACCAAAACCATCTGATATTAACGGAACATTTCATTGCCAAGTAAAAAGCCAGGAAAATCTAAGGCAAAACATGCTGTTGTTGCTGTTATTTATTAGATTTTTATACCGCCTTTCATCATAAGAGCTCAGGGCGGTTCACAGAATAAAATAAAATGTTAGAGAAACAGCATTCCCCTCCCCCTTTAAACTAAAGCTGCAATCCTAACTATGTCAAGTCCAACTGAATTATCTCCTAGGTAATTAGTGTTAGGATTGCAGCCTCTGTTTCTTCTCCCATCCCTCTTTTTTGTTCCTGTTTCTTTTGCTATCACACAGCCTTCGTTGTGGCTTGCACCAAGCTCAGTGTTTCAGAGAACAAGCTGTTTTCCTCTGCATTAATTTTCTGCAAATCCTTTGCTTATTCCTGTTGCATTAATCTTAGGGCTGGAGCCTGTTACTAAGTTGCAATCTTCAATTTCAATGACATTATCTTTTAATTAACCCCAGGAAATTAATGCTTATAGCATTACAAACTAGCCACAGATTTCCTTTCCCACCCCAACCCCCCCCCAGTAAATATTCATTGAAAATGTACATGACCGTTCAAACAGGCCTTTTAAAAGCTGCAAAATGCTTTTGCACAAAAGCTGGGATCCAAAGGATGACTTTAAGCACACACTCAAGGGCTTGTGCATGCTCAGAAAGATTTTATTTTCTTTTTAGATTCCCCCCCCCTTTCCTATTGAACAACAGGCCCCAGTTCCGTATTGCAGTTTGCTTTGGGGGAAAATCCTCTATCTCAAAAACTGTTTTCAGCATTGGAAAAGGGGTGCAGCAGGAGGCTCCATTATGTCATTATGCTATGCCATACATCACTACTAGACAAACTGAAAACTGGTGAATTGGTGGGCCTGGATGGCATCCACCCTTGTGTTCTCAGAGAAGTCACATGTGAAATAGCTTATCTACTATTTATAAGATACTACTTATCTTCACGGCCTAGGACCCTCGTACCTACGGGACCGCCTCTCCCGGTATGCCCCATGGAGAGTCTCAAGGTCCACAAATAGCAACACCCTAGTGGTCCCGGGCCCTAAGGAAGTTAGATTAGCTTCAACCAGAGCCAGGGCCTTTTCAGCACTGGCTCCGGCCTGGTGGGACGCTCTGCCTCATGAGACCAGGGCCCTGCAGGATCTGATTTCTTTCCGCAGGGCCTGTAAGACAGAGTTGTTCTGCCTGGCCTTTGGCTTGGAGCCAATTTGATTCCCTCCCCCTCTTTCTTTTTTCTTTTTCCTTTCGCCTCCTGTGATGAGGCTGCATTTAAATATTTTAATGTTTCAATATTTTAATGTTGTATTTTAATTTTGTTTTTAAGTTGTATTCATTCAACTTGTTTTTATTATTGCTTGTTAGCCACCCTGAGCCCGGCCTTGGCTGGGGAGGGCGGGGTATAAATAAAAATTATTATTATTATTATTACTACTACTAACAAAAACAATTATTAAAGTTGCTGCTAAGATAAACCTCCATACCTGAGAATGAGAAAGTAGCCAGTGTAACAGCAATTTTTAAAAAGGCATCCACAAGGGATGCTGGATGTTACAGGTTAGTTAGTTTAACATCTGCTCCAGAGGGTGAAAAGTATTGTTAAAGATAAAAGAACAAAAAATATGAAAGAAAAAGCCTTGCTGAAAAAGAATCAGCATGGCTTCTACAAGTGTAAGTCCTGCCTCACTAACCTATTAGAGATATTTGCAAGTGTCAACAAGCATATAGAGAGAGGTGATCCAGTTGACATAGTGTCCCTGGACTTTGCAAAAGCTTTTGACCTCCCCGAGGCTCCTGAATGAGCCTAGCAGTTATGAAATAAGAGGCGAGGTCCTCTTGTGGAGCAGGGATTAGATTAAGGAACAGGAAGCAAAGAGTAGAAATAAATGGACACTCCTCCAAATGGAGAGAAGCGGAAAGCGGAGTCTTCCAAGGATCGGTATTGGGATCAATCATAGAATCATAGAGTTGGAAGGGACCTTGAGGGGCATCCAGTCTAACCCCTTGCAATGCAAGAATCTCAGCTAAAGCATCCAAGACAGATGACCATCCAACCTCTGCTTGGAAACCTCCAAGGAGGGAGAGTCCACAACCTCCATGAATTTGTCTGCAAGTCATGATCAGAGGCACTAACGCTTCTGAATACCAGTTACCCAAAACTGCAGGAGAGGAAAATGCTGTTGCACTCAGATCCTACTTGTAGGCTTTCCCTAGGCATCTGGTTGGCCACATCAGAACAGGATGCTGGACTAGATGGGCCACTGGTCTGATCCTGCAGGCCCTTCTTAAATAATAATAGTAGTAGTAGTAGTAGTAGTAGTAGTAAGAATGTTCTTCATGCATAATAGTTATTCCCAAACCTGGCCAGGATTTAATGTACATGGGCTCTTACCACCCTCTTACCACCAGCTTGATTTGATATTACATTATCAAATCAAGATAAAAACATTTTTCACTTCAATACTGCCAAAAAAGTTAATCAAATTGTCTCCTCAAGTATTCACTTTCATCAAATTGGGTTTATACTAGACCACTAAATTTCTGATCCCGTTCAGTGAGTCCCTAATATAGTCTACGTATTACAGTAAGCAAACTAGCAGTCTCATAGTATTGGTAATGACAAATGCTTATAAAGCCTTTGATTGCTTAGAATGGGGATTTTTAATCCAGAAATTGAAAACATATCAATTGGGGAACAAGTCTATAAGCACGCGATCCAAACTTTATCAAAGCAATACATCAGTGGTATAAAATAATTCCTTGGAATCAAGGAACAAAACCCTGCTGCTCTGCATCCTTTTCTACAGCCTCTGGTGGTAACAAAACAAAATCCAGTAATTAAAGGGTACTACTGGGTGAACAGCAAAGAACACCTTTTGATTTTATTTGCAGATGGAGTAGCTCTCACTTTGAGTGACCCTGTAGTGGTGTTTCCAGTAATACAAGTCAAGAAATATGAAAACCAGATGGTCTCCACATCAGTTTCAACTTCCCTTTAGTCATTCCTTTTCAATGCATTTCCCTGTCACTTTCCTAACAGCAAAATGTCTGTTTCTTTTTTCAAAAAGTGTTGCACTTAAGGCAACAAAGCACCTAAAAGCATTTTAATTGCATTGATTTAAATTTACAGTATACAACTTGAAAACCTGCCTTCTAAACTGCAGCAGTCTGGAGGCCCCCTGGATGTGATAATGCTGAACTCTCTGTTGATCTAGGTTCTAGAGCATAGGTAGATTTTCACATTTTCTCCAGCGTTCAGGACTTGCTGCCGTTACCTACAGCTAGTTTCAAATACTTCTTCTGATCTGATCGATGAAACAGCTTTACATCAAATGACCAGAATGATATAACACCCCCTTCTCTTTTTGTGTGTTTCAAAACTCTCTCCTGGATTCCTCACTTCAAAGAAAAGCATTAAGGTTATTAAGTGTAGTAATGATTGATTTATTACATAACATTCTGAAGTGTTGTCTTTGAAGCCCGAATTAAAAGGTCTCGTATTCCCATTTTTTTGTCTGAGGGTTGAATGCTAAAAATGCTGAGCGGATCATATCAAAGGCAATATTGTAACCAAGGGCATTGGAAGGAGGTTTCGGAGCATCTGTGCCCCTCTGCATTTACTTCCCAGTATTTTAATGAAATGCTTAATATTCTGCCTAGGATTCTGGCAGTAGATCTTTCTTCTCGGAGTGGGGAAAACGGGGAGCAGATGAAGCAAATTGTAAGGGGATTCAGATCCAGTTTGGAAACCTTCTTACATGTGTGTCTCCGGTGGAGTTTTCAAGTTATGTGCTGAAGGAAAGCCAGCTCTGTTCCTCATGCGACTGCAGGCTGCATTCACACAGCAGTTTATTCCATGTTCACACCGTTTCCCTACCAGGTAATTTCCACATTATATCTGAGCTTTCTCACAGCCACTTCCAGAACTACAGTGGTACCTCAGGTTACATACGCTTCAGGTTACATACGCTTCAGGTTACAGACTCCACTAACCCAGAAATATTACCTCAGGTTAAGAACTTTGCTTCAGGGTGAGAACAGAAATCGTGCTCCGGTGGCGCGGTGGCAGCAGGAGGCCCCATTAGCTAAAGTGGTGCTTCAGGTTAAGAACAGTTTAAGGTTAAGTACAGACCTCCGGAACGAATTAAGTACTTAACCCGAGGTACCACTGTACAGTGGAATGCAGCACAAGTTTAGCACTTACTTCCATATTCTTTGCAAACAGGGGTTTTTCTGGAAGCAAATCACATGAATATATCCTCTTTATATTCCACTGTACTTCCAGAAGTGGCTTTTATGTCATGTGAAAGCTCCAATATAATGTGGAACTTACGAGTTAGGGGGAAGTTGTGAGACGTGAATGCAGCCACAGTGCTCGACAGACAACCTGGATTGCTAAGTGAAATCCCAGCGTTATGCTAATGCACTGCTCTCAGATTTGACAAGACACACATTCAGCATTTCTCCCCCACTCCTCCTTTCAGATGATGCTTATTATCTTACTGAGTAATTAATTATAGCAAAACAATGCTTTTAATACCCTGATAACAATGCCTTCCACTGAAAAGATCCTGGTCCACTTTACAAGCATTAAGGAGGAGAGATTTCCAAACACTCATGCTTAAACTGTTATTGATCCACAGAAAGAGGAAAGGTTAAGAGTGTTGTTGACCAAGGATTGCAGACCCTCCAAGTGTCCCTATTTTCCAGGGGCGTCCCTGATTTAGAGAAGTTGTCCTGGTTTCTGATTTGATCCCAGAATGCCCCACTTTTCCTTAGGATGTCCCTATTTTCACTGGAGAAATGTTGGAGGGTATGCAGTTATCCAACCCCTGAGCTGTCTGAAGGCATTTCTGTATAGAGAAGTTTTTTTTTAATGTTTAATGTTTTATTATGTTTTTATATATGTTGGAAGCTTCCCAGAGTGGCTGGGGCAACCCAATAAGATGTGTGGGGTATAAATAGTAAAATTATCATTATGGAATGGGACGTCCCTATTTTCATCGGTGAAATGTTGGAGGGTATGGGGTTGGTATTCTGCCAAGTCCTACTCAGAATAAACCCCCTGAAATTATTAAACCGAATTGTAGAGTTGGAAGGGACCCTGAGGATCATCTAGTACAACCCCCTGCAATGCAGGAATATGCAGCTGTCCCATACAGGGATCAAACCTGCAACCTTGGCATTATCAGCACCGAGTTCTAACCAACTGAGCTACCCAAGTCATTTTAATGAGTTTGCCTCAAGTGAGATTAGCATGGCATACCACCCCAAGGTTCACATTGTGAAGTCAGGGCTGGTGAACAACCTTGGTTGGGCTAGATGATCCTCAGGGTCCCTTCCAAACAACTCTGATTCTATGAGATATGAGAGATGAGCATATAGTACTTCCTGTCTCTCTCTTCTTGTGACGAGCCATGAGGGTAGATGTGCCATCTGCTTGCTCCATCTCAGGCAGGTGCCTGAAACTTGCACTTTGAGGTGCTTTTGAACTGCTAGGTGGGCAGGAGCAGGGACCGAGCAATGGGAGCTCACCCCGTCGCGGGGATTCGAACCGCCAACCTTCTGATTGGCAAGTCCTAGGCTCTGTGGTTTAACCCACAGAGCCACCATATTAATTGCAATTTATCCCTCCAGGCGCCTACATGTGGTGGTTGAACAGAGTTTCAAAATCCCATCCTTGGCATCAAAATTAATAGCAAAGGGATTAGGCTATAAAACCTTGTTCTGAACAAGTCCAGCTAACGAAGAAAGCTGACATCCCCCACCTAACAAAGAACCAGGCAACAATTTGTAAAACTAAGTTTTAAAATAAGTTTGCTTACTTGATAATCATGCATTGGCTCATAGCAACAGTGGCAGTAAAAACTATGTGGGGAAAATACAGTATATTTATATACTGTAAATATAGGTAAATAAAAGGTAAAGGACCCTTGGATGGTTAAGTCCAGTCAAAGGCGACTATGGGGTTGTGGCACTCATCTCTCTTTCAGGCCAAGGGAGCTGGCATTTGTCTGCAGGCAGCTTTCCGGGTCATGTGGCCAGCATGACTAAGCCACTTCTGGAGAACCAGAGCAGCACATGGAAACGCCGTTTACCTTCCCGCCACAGCGGTACCTATTTATCTATTTGCACTGGTGTGCTTTCGAACTGCTAGGTTGGCAGTTTGAAAGTACTGTATAACCAGCTGTCAATATAACCAGTTTCAGGCACCTGCCTGAGATGGAGCAAACAGACGGCACATCTGCCCTCATGGCTCGTCACAAGAAGAGAGAGACAGGAAGTACTATATGCTCATCTCTCATATCTCATAGAATCAGAGTTGTTTGGAAGGGACCCTGAGAATCATCTAGCCCAACCATCTGCAATGCAGAAATATGCAGCTGTCCCTTATGGGGATAGAAGCTGCTCCTTCCTCTCCAGAAGAGCAGGGGAAATGACATCACATAGAGCCCTCTCTACAAATTGTATTTCTATGGTCTGAGTATCTGCCTATCAGCAATACAGCTCTGTGAACTTCTCCTGCTATCTAGCAAGCGTATGTATTTGTTAGGTTTGGCTGCTAATCTCCCACAGAATGGTCCTCTTTGCTCTTCAGCAAGACATTCTGAAACTTGGAGGAACCCCAGGAGCAGCCTCTAAAGCACAAGAAGCTCATGTTTGGGAACAAAGAAAACAACAGCAGGGAAATCCCAGCAAAGATGGGAAGCATTCTGTGGACTTGGAGGTTTATCATCAAAATGGATGGAAGGTAGGGAGCTCCTTTATACTGAGTCAGGCCACTGGCCGATCTATCTGAATATTGTCTATACTTAGTGGCAGCAAGTCTTCAAGATGCCAGACGGGACAGTCCAAGCTAGGGGTCGGCAATGGAAGACTGTTTTACCGGCCCACGAGCCACCCCTGAACCGAGCCAACCGCTCAGCGAGTCCCCCACGTGCTGCGCTAAACTGGCGCAGCGAGGTGCGGTGACTCGCCAAGGGGTGCCAGAAATTGCGTCGGTGCACGTGCAGATACTGGAAATTATGTCTGTGCATGTCCAGATGCCCCAAATTGCTTCTGTGCTGGCAAGATTTTCGGCATCTGGGCATGCGCAGAAGCGATTTCCAGTGCTGTGGACATGCGCAGATGTGATTTCCAGCGTCGTGCTGCCCCAGTCCAGCCCACGGACAATCTCCAGCCCATGGCCGGTAAACCTTGCTGACCCCTGGTCCAAGTTCTACCTGGTGATGCCCAAGGATTGGAATTGGGACCGTCCGTCTGCAAGGCAGATGCTCCACCACTGAGCTGCAAATGAACATAACATGAGGTCAAGCATTTGTCATGGAGTTTTTCAACGCTAGAAGCATCCCATAGGTAACCACTTTGCAAGTGTATAGTTGTTCAGATGAGAGAGAGAGAGAGAGATGTGCTCAAAGGTCCCTGATGGTGTATCATTTCTAACAGGAGATGTGTGTGGGAGCACCAGGACCAGATAGGTTAAAGGAAGGAGACCATTACTAACCAGCAGGACTTGTTGCTTGCCAAAATGCTTTTAACATTACTATGCAAATTCCCAGTGACAGCATTAAACTACAAGGGGAGAGGAAAGCTTGAAAAAGTCAAGTAGGATCCAGGCCTCTTTAATAATGAATAATGATGCATCAAAGGAAAGAGATGTAAAAGGGCCGATAGGGCAGATCTGGTATTTTAAAGTAACTTAACACCATGGTAAATAAATTATAAGAAAGGTTTAGTACAACCCTGCATGTAAAGGAGGTTAGTGAGAAGGAAACTTTGGGCCTGCGACGATGTAATTTTCATACTCCAAGAATTTTAAAAGTATGCTTTGAGTCCTTCTACACACAAAAAGGGCTACTTTTTCTGGAGCTCCGTTTCATGAATAATGGGAATCTAGAATCCTGCTTACAAAGCTGTCTAGATAAACTTGCAAGTTCCATGCAATATTTCCTTCTGCAGATCTTTTGTGACTTGAAACAACAACAACAAAAACCCTGCAAAAAATATGCATTATGTCTGACTCAGCCCTTTGTTTTCTACATATAACCAACCGCCCTGCTGAATGAAATCAGTTCTACCCCAGCCATGCAGAGACTTTATTCATCCAATGAAGATGAATGCTGGAAGGATTCAGGTCAGGCCAAAGGAAATGCTTGTTCACACATCACATAGTTAAGCAGCGGAATTAGTGGCCACAGGATGCAGTGACAGCTGCTGAACTGGCGACTTTAGGGTTAGACAAATTAGTGGAGAATAGGGCTAGATGAATACCAGCTGCTGGGAATCACAAGTGGAGAGAGTATTTGGGTATCTGGTTGGCCACTGGGGGAACAGGACGCTGGACTAGGTGGACCTTGGGCCTGATCCAAGAGGGCTCTTTGCTGCTGCCCACTTCTCCAGCTGAGACTATAACTTAACGCTGCACAAAGGGGGTGGGCAAGAATTCTACTGAAAGGGGTTTCCAGATTCCTCATTCATAGCTGACTATTTGAGGAAAACCCATGGCCAAGCAGGAATTACCATCTCTTCAACCCATGCAACGTTGCCTGTCTTCCTGCAAACGTTTTAAAAATAATCACCAGAAAGACAGTCCTCCTTGGCTGCCATTCCAAACGGGCACTTAATAATTAAGTATGACTTCTATTTTCTTCTTCTCCTATGAGTAGCTCTCATTTATTTAACAGGACAATTTCTAACCCGCTTTTCAAAGACTCTCCAAATGGCTAAAAAGGATCCAACACACAATGAAACAGCAGTAAAAACAAAGCAACAACAGAAGCAAGAAGAGCAGCTAAAAAATAATAATAGATGTGGGGGGTGTTCGGGGGGGGAGATGAGATCAATGTTACAGTGTGATGTGGTGATGTAGATGTGCCAGTGTGGTGTAGTGGTTAAGAGCAGTGGACTCGTAATCTGGTGAACCGGGTTCGCTTCCCCGCTCCTCCATATGCAGCTGCTGGGTGACCTTGGGCCAGTCACACTTCTCTGAAGTCTCTCAGCCTCCCTCACCTCACAGAGTGTTTGTTGCGGGGGAGGAAGGGAAAGGAGATTGTTAGCGGCTTTGAGACTCCCTAGGGAAGTAATAAAGCGGGATATCAAATCCAAACTCTTCTTCTTACAAACAATAAACTGCCCTGAGATCTACTGGTATAGGGCAGAATACAAACTTAATTAAATCAGCAGCAGCAAGAACTAAATATCCTTGGGCAAATAAAACAGTCTCCACTTGACACACAAAAGGCAACAGACTACTCTTTTGAGAAAGCATATATCACAAGAAGAACTTTGTCTCTTTCAAAAGAAACAAACGGCAACAGGAAACTTTGGAGTCCATCCAAATACACAGCTAATTCTATATACCATAAGTTCCTCCACTTGGACTTAGAAATCGGAGGACCATGTGGTCAACAGCCCCTATGTGGTCATTGGAGTCATGAAATTCTACCAGCATCCCCTGCTCACCTTTGTGCAATCTGTCACATCAGTATAGCCTTAGGTTTTGGGGTACATTATGGAAACATCATGTCCTCTTACCAAGACATATTTGATTTGAATGACTCTAAGACTGGGATGTTCAGACATCACTTGCAGAATCTACTTTGCAAGGGTTTCTTCACCTGTAGGAAACGTGTATCTGCTTGACCAGGATGCTGAACTAGACAGGCCATTAGCCTGATTTAGCCGGACAATTCTTACGTTCTTAACTCCAAGTGGGGTCCAATCAGCTAAAACTAGGTGCCAAACAGTGACTTAGCCAGGTAGGCAGTCCACAAATTGGTGATTGAAGCCAGAACCAATCTCACAAACCATTTCATTCCAAAGTCTACTCCCCAACAACTCTTTTTTTTCAGCTGTCCATTGCTGCTACTACTACTACTTCTATTACTACCTTTTAGATGCTGCTATTGTGAAACAATTGCATGTCAGAAACCCACACTGATCTACTGAGAACCACCTGGAGCTCTACCAAAGGATGTCAGTCCTCTTTCTGCCCACCGCTGCTTTATTTGGCTGCATCACAGTTCACTTAAAGAGCCTTCCCTTTGTTCAGATCTCCTCGGTACCTTTCCATTTCTCTAATGCACTTCAGGAAGCAGGCTATGACGCCACCTGTGACCCAGCTGAGTAGGAAACAAAAGCAGCCTTGCCTGCATTAATGATCACTCACAGCTTCGCCTCCTGCTGCCTGTGTCTGTGCAAAAAGTCTCACAGCTCTTCAA